AAGCTATATATTTATTGTTGCTGTTCAGTCGTTTAGGCATGTCCAACTGTTCATAGCACTCTAGGGCGCTTCTATCCTCCATTGTCTCTTGAAGTCTGTCCAAATTTATATTCATTGCTTTCATGACACTATCTATCCATTTCATTCTTTGCCATGACTTTTTCCTTTTGCCTTCAATCTTTCTGAACATCACAATCTTTTCCAATGTACCCCTTCTTCTCATTATGTGGCCAAAGTATTTTTTTTATTTTATTAATTTATTTTGATTTATCAACAATCACTTCCATATGCTTTTGAGTTGGAAATTTTTCTCCCCCTTCCTCCACCCCCACAACCTCCCCAAGATTTCGAACAATCTGATATAGGCTTTACATTTACATTCCTATTAAACATATTTTCACATTAGTGAAGTTGTAAGTAAAAATTAAAACCAATAAGAGGGACCATCAGAAAGATGAAACAAAACTCAACAGAAGGTAAAAATAAGTGACAGCAATTTGACTTCCATAGTTCTTTCTTTGGATATGGACAGCATTTTCCATCCTGAGGCCTCTGGAGATGTCTTAAATCCTTATAATGCTGAGAAGGGTTCAATTTAACAATATTAGTCATTGCAAAATGTGGCTGTTATTGTGTACAAAGTCCTCTTGGTTCTAACTTCACTCAGCATCAGACCATATAAGTCTTTCCAGGTTTTTCTGAAGTCAGCCTGTTCATCATTTCTTATAGCACAATAGTATTCCATTACATTCATATACCACAACTTGCTCAGCCATTCCCCAATTGATAGGCATCCTCTCAATTTCCAATTCTTTGCCACCACAAAGAGCTGCTATATAAATATATTTGTACATGTGGGTCCTTTTCCCATTTGTTTGATCTCTTTGGGATATAGCCCTAGAAGTGCTATTGCTGGATCAAAGGGTATGCACATTTTTGTAGCCCTTTGGGCATAGTTCCAAATTGTCCTCCAAAATGGTTGGATCATTTCACAACTCCACCAACAATGTATTAGTGTCCCAATTTTCCCACATCTTCTCCAACATTTATCATTTTCCTGTTTTGTCATGTTGGCCAATCTGATAGGTGTAATGTGGTACCTCAGAGTTGTTTTGATTTGCATTTCTCTAATCAATTTAGATTTAGAGCATTTTTTCATATGACTATAGATGGCTTTAATTTCTTCATCTGAGAACTGTCTGTTCATATCCTTTGACCATTTATCAATTGGGGAATGGCTTGTATTCTTATAAATGTGTCTTAATTCTCTACATATTTTAGAAATGAGGCCTTTATCAGAGAGACTGGTTGTAAAAATTCTTTCCCAATTTTCTACCTTCTTTCTAATCTTAGTTGCATTGGCTTTGTTTGTGCAAAAGCTTTTCAATTTAACATAATCAAAATTATCCATTTTGCTTTTCCTAATGTTCTCTGTCTCCTGTTTGGTCATGAATTCTTCTGTTCTCCATAGATCTGATAGGTAAACTATTCCATGTTCTCCCAGTTTACTTATAGTATCAGCCTTTATATCTAAGTCATGAACCCATTTTGACTTTATTTTGATATATGGCGCGTGAGATTTGGGTCTATGCCTAGTTTCTGAAATACTCTTTTCCAGTTTTCCTAGCAGTTTTTTTCAGAGTGGGTTCTTATCCCAGAAGCTGGGGTCTTTGGGTTTATCAAATAATAGATTACTATAGTCATTGACTGCTGTGTCTTACATATTTAACCTATTCCACTGATCCACCTCCCTATTTCTTAGCCAGTACAAAGCAGTTTTGATGATTGCTGCTTTATAATACGATTTAAGACCTGGAATTGCTAGTATGTGGCCAAAGTATTTAAGCTTCAGCTTCAGCTTCAATATTTGACCTTCCAGTGAATAGCCTGAATTAATTATTTTTTTAAATATTGACTGATTCAATCTCTTTGCTGTCCAAGAAACTCTCAAAAATCTTCTCCAGTACCACAATTTGGGATAAGGTCCTACATGTACAAAAAATTTCTACCAGTTCTTTTTGTGGTGGTGAAGAAATTGAGTGGATGCCCACCAGCTGCGGGAAAGGCTGAATGAATTGTGGTATATGATTGTGATGTTATACTATTCTGCTATAAGAAATGATGAGCGAAAAAGCTGGAAAGAATTACACAAACTGATGCAAAGTGAAGTGAGCAGACCCAGGAGAACATTGTACATAATAACACCAATACTGTATGATGATCAGTCATGAATGACTTAGCTATTCTCAGCAATACAATGATCTAAGACAATCCCAAAGGACTCGTGAAGAAAAATCCTATCTCCAGAGAAAGAACTGTTGAGTATGAATGCGGACTGTGGCATACTATTCTCACTTTCTTGATTTTGTGTGAGTTTTGTTTTTGTTTTTTGTTTTGTTTTTTGTCTGTTTTCTTTGCAACATGACTAATATGAAATGTTTTACAGGACTGCTTTTATATATATATACATATATATATATATATATATATATATATATATATATATATATATATACGCACACACACATATATAAAACCTATAACAAATTGCTTACTGTCTCAGGGAGTGGTCAGAGGAGGGAGGGAGAAAATTTGGAACTCAAAATTAAAAGAAAAACAAATGCTAAAAATTCTTATTACATGCAATTGGGAAAATAAAATACACTAAAGAAAACAAAAATCCTCAGGACCTGATGCAGTCACATGTGAATTCTACTAAACATCTAAAGAACAATTAATCCCAATACAAAATAAAAGATTCAGAAGAATAGGCAAAGAAGGAGTCCCACTAAATTCCTTTTAGGAAACTAATATGATATTAATACCTAAACCAGGAAGAGTAAAAGCAGAGAAAGAAAACTGTAGATCAATCTCCCTAATGAATATCAATGCAAAATTTTCAGTAAAATACTAGCAAGGAGATCACAGCAATAAATCACAAAGATCATGCATTATGACCAGTTGGCATTTATACTGGCAATGCAGGGCTAATCAAATTGCTTGCCTTCTCAAAGGGAGGGAGGAGGGGCAGGATGGGTGGGCAGGAGAGAATTCAGAACTCAAAATTTCTAAAAAACAAATCTTAAATGTAATTGAGATGTATTTAATGAAATAAATTTTAAAAAATATTGGGAAAAATAATAAATACGTGTTCTTATACTCCTAACCCAGATCAAAGCTTTCCTGATTTTTTTTAAAAGACTGAACCACTTTCCTTTTACTTGTCCTATTTCACCTCGTGAAAGGGTGAAAAGGAATGATATTTAGTATGGAGAAAAGAAGGCATTGGGTAATACTTAATGTCTACCTTTATCCAGACTCACCCTGAGCAACCATAACAACAACACTTAGAGGATAAAATCTTAAACTGTTACTTTTGATCTCCAGTGAAATTGAATAAAGTAATGAACTATAAAAGAATAAAACAAAAATGGCTAATAGGGAGCTAATATGCAAAATACTAATAAAATATTCAGAGACAACTAATTACCCAAATGAGTTCAAGTCATCTGATCCAGATAAACTACATCCTCATTCATGTTCCTGAAAAAGCTGGCAATATGCCTACATATAGGATTTTTATACTTTAACCTCCTCTACATTCTATATGGTCCAGTCAAACTGGCTCACCTGATACTCCACACACATAACACTTAATGTCCCATCTCCATGCCTTTACATAATTGGAATAGTCTTCTTCCTCATCTCTGCTTCTTGATGTTTCACTGACTTCCCTCAGGACCAAGCTCACATATTTCTTTCTGTAAGAGGTTTTGTTTTCTGCTCCCCACTTACCCCTGAGTCAATAGAGCCTTTCTTTGTATCCCTAGTGTTTAGCACTATGCTTGCCCCTAAAATCATGCTTATTGACTTACTGAGCCACATCAGTGATACTTGAAAGATTTCATAGAACAGGAAGCATATCACAGGATTGAAATGGAAGAAAAAAAAGATTTTCAAAAGGGAAGGGAATAGAATCTATAAATTACAGGTTTCCAGGCAAAATTCCGGAATGCATTATTTAAGAGATGGCTAGGGAAATTCTAGAAAAGGAAGCTTTGATCACAAAGTGACAACAAGGTTTGTCAAGTAGAAAACAGGTATTGCAAAAGTAATGTTATCTCTCTCTCTCTCTCTCTCTCTCTCTCTCTCTCTCTCTCTCTCTCTCTCTCTCTCTCTCTCTTTTAATAACCAGAGAATTCACTGATTTAGATGGGGACCTAATCATTCACATCCAATGAAAGGCATATACACAGGTCCTATCCATCACTCATATCTCGCAGTAAGAAAGCTGTGCTGGTACTAGTTCTGGCGAAAACAAGGTCCAGAAATGCAAATCTCCCCTCAGGTCAAAAGTAAGCATATTTCTTGGAAATAATCTTCTTAGAGCTAAAATTGTGGATAGAACAATCAACAAAAGAGAGGAGGTAAATGACCTTTAGTTGAGAAGGGTGGACAGAGCACTGGGTCTGAAATCAGAAAGATGTGAGTTCAAATTCTGCCTCAAACACATTAGCTGTGTGACCTTGGGCAAGTCAATTAATCTGTTTGCCTCAGTTTTTTTCATCTATAAAATGAGCTGTAGAAGGAAACAGCAAATTGTTTCATTATCTTTACCAAGAAAATTCCAAATGGGGTCATGAAGTGTCAGACACAACTGAACAACAACAGCCAATTGATTGAGACCACATCCTGCTACCCCTACCTTCTGGTGATATTTTCAAGGTTATTTTGTGTTTTGTGTACTTTATATGAGGTCTTGTCCTCTCCCATACTCACACCACTCCCCATTGAAATATAAGTTTCTTGAAATCAGGGACTATTTGCTTTCATCTTTTTAGCCTCAGTGACTAGAACAGTTAATGCAATGTGTTCAATAAATATTTTGATTAATTTATTTGTTGTGCCTATATTTGCTCCTCTAATTCAACCTATCAAAGTAGGAGAGTAAGACTATAGTGTTTTGGAAAATTAGAAAGGATAAGCATCCATTCACTGACCACAGTAGTAGAAGACAGAACTGCACAGAATCCACGATGTCATTTTCAGTAAATATGGAAATTGATTGAATAGTTCCAGTAACCTGTAAGAAGAGAGAATTGTTTGAGGTTCTTCCAGAGACAATAAAAATTATGTGTTCAATAAATGCAAATTGGTGTTTCTTTTAGAAGGGAAAATGAATGGAAGACTTTTGTCCATTCTTACTGATTAAAAAAAATGAGGAATTTTACAAAAGGATGGGATAAATGTTCTAAGGAGGAAACCATAATAAAAAAAAATATATATATTCTGACAGGCCATAGGGAACCCAAGCCAGTGTCAAAATTTAGAGGTGAAGAAAATGACAGAGGAAGAATTATCTCTGGTCCATTAAAGGTATGTAATAGATCAAAGGGTCTTTTAAGTAAAAGGTGAATCTGAACTTCCAGGAAGAAACATTTTAAAGATTCCTTGGAAGGATAAGAAGGATCTACAGGTGCCTAAAGTCCCAAGGAACTCTAGTTTTGGTCCAAGAAACAACAGATACTTAGTGACTCCCACATGAGGGGAACAAGAGTTTAAAAATTTGAAGTAATTAATTATGGTAATGAAGAATTTGTTCCCTGGAAAATATTCCTAGGTATGATATAAGAAGACTCTCAAGATATGCCAGATGTGTAGAACACTATTTACCATTTAATATTTACATGAGAATGAATAATAATAGCAGAATAGAAGACCTAGAGAAGATATTTAAGGGATTATGAAAACCTTGGCACAAAACCAATGGACTTGGAGACAAGCGTGGTATTATTTCACTAAAACATTAAGAAAGTATAAGATATGGAAAACTAACCATGGAGATCTTATGGGAAAATGGGACTTGATTTTCCAGATCCTAGTTTAAGAGATAAGAATAATGGGTTGGCAATCTCGTATATATAATGCAAGTCTGGAAGAACTGTCCACCTGAAGTCTTACCGATCTAATAAGAACCTTAAAATAAAATGAAACAAGCGGAAGAGAATACCCATATAGAACTGCTAAAGACATTTGGAAAGCAATAAGTAAGGCACATAAAGAAGAGTAGCAGTGGAGTTATCCAATAATTCACATACACAAATAATTAGAGAGCATTGGAACATTTACAATTGTGGTCTTAAACTGTAAGTTCTTATACCACCAAAGTCAGTTTGACTTCATAGAATGGAATGCATATTGTCAGGAAGTACAGAAATGAAGATTGTTCAAAAGAACAGAATAAACAAACTGAGAATTAGAATGTCACTTAGTGTGTAAGAAAAAAATGCTTGTGTGAAAATGTGTGAGCCTTGTGGTGGGGCACACCGAATAAGGGTAAAGGGAAGGAGAATCAGAAATTATACAATTCTGGAATGGGAATATATTCTTGACCAGCTGAAATAAATTGATAATAAATTCATGATACAGACCACAAAACTGGTACACTGTTGTCATGGCAGATTTCAATTATCTGCACATCTTCTGTAGGTCTCTCTGTTTCTGTCTCTGTCTCTGTCTTTCTCTTTCTGTCTCTGTCTCTGTGTCTCTGCATCTCTCTCTTTCTCTCTGTCTCTTTCTCTCTCTCTCTCTCTCTCTCACTCTGTTTCTCTCCAAAATTCAATTAAATGGATAGAATCATTTAATTAGAATTGGAAGGGACCTCAGAGGTCATTTAGTCCAATGGCTTCTTTCTACAGACAAGGAAAATAAGTACCAAGGACATTCACTGACTTACCCTAAATCTCAACAGTAGTAAATGAAAGAGGCAGAATACAAAAGCCCAGGTCTTCTGACTCTGAGAGCCAGCACTGCTTCCCATTCAACAAGTATTTATTAAGCCCCTGCTATGCACAAAGCACTGAGAATACATAGAATAGGAGGGAAAATACAGGAAAATTCACTATCCTCAAGGAGCTTACACTATAAAAACATAGTATCTTATGAAATCTGTATTTTTCTTTGCTTGGAAACTTTAACTAACAGCAGGTAGAGGGGAAACTGTTATTCTGGGATTGATTCTGCTCTAGTGAATGAAATGGCATTAATTAAAGTCTTAGGAGAAAACAATCACATCAACTTCAAGATCATTATAGATAAACAGTGAATGTTAACCATAATCTTACATAGACCCTAGCCTGGAAAGAAAAAAGTGAATTTCAAAAATTCAAAAAAAAATAGGTGAACTTTAATTGATAGGATGAAATCCTCAAAAGTAAGTCAGCTAAAGAAGGAGGGAAGGCTATCAAGAAAGGATCACTGAGAACAGTATTGCAAGTGATTCTGATGAGGATAAAAAGAAAGGTGTCCAAAAAGACATATGTGGCTGTACAAGAAGATCTTTGATGAGCTCAGTTTTTTGAAAGTGTTTTCAAAGGATTAAAGTTAGGGAATGCAACTGAGGGCAGATTCAAATATGTGTCACAGTCTTATGAGAAAAGCATCAGAATTGGTAAAATCCAGCATGAACTGCAACTTATAAAACTGCGGACATCAACAAAAAAGCTCAATGTTGAGGGCAAAAACATTCTCAACTTAAACATAAGGAGGAAAAGATTGTTTAATGAAACTAGAGAGGATAGAATAAAAAGATTGAAGAGAGAACAAAAACATGAGTTAAGAATGGTAAGAGAGCTCCTAGCTGGCCTCAAAGAGCACAAGTCTTGTGACAAAGATGAATTCCATCCTGACACGTCTTACAGATGTGATCACTATGTAACCAGCAATGGTAAAAGAGCATGTCAGAGGCCTATAAGCTTAGCATGCACTTATCAGGTATCTAGTTTAAGAAAAGTCTTTAAGGCTGAATGTCAGGTCAAATTCTTCTTTGAAATATAGACACACAGACCCAGCTCTTAGTACAAAATTAAGTGCTTTTTCCACTACACAGGCAGTATATTTTAGCTTACTGAGATTTCAGCAAGGTATTTAACAAAGTCTCTCAGGGACTTATGGTCAAAGTGAGATGTCTGGGCTCACAGCTGATTAAAGAGAACTGTAGCTAATTGAGGAGGGGGCTATAACTAGCATGTTGCCACCATAAAAAGACAAAGTAGTAAGAAAACTGCCCTAGTTCTGTCCCATTTTATCTTTTTTTGTTTTCTTCTGTGTATTAAAAATGTTTTTATTTCTACCTATTTTGGTGACTCTTTCACTTCAGTTCACCTGCTCTTCCCCCTCTTCCATCAGAAGCCTTTGCTTTATACACTCACACACACACACACACACACACACACACACACACTCACTCACTCACTCACTCACATGATAGTGGAAAACCAATCAACATACTGGTGATTTAGGACAATGCATATCTCATGCTACAGCCCTAGCCCCATTTTCTCTATGTAAAGTGGTGGGAAGTATGGTTCATAAACAGTTTTTGAAGTGACTCTTTTTTATTGCCATACAAGGAATAAGCAGCAGAGCTAAGATATGAACCAGCCAAGAACAACTACTATTTGCTGTTCAGTTTTCTGTTGAATAGCTTTTCCAACAAAAATGGTTAACACTGTATGCAAATAACTGTTCAAGGAGAGTAGGGAATATATCAGTGGACCTCCCCACATTCAAAGAATTTGTTGTTGTGTATCTTATAAACAATCATAAGTTATATTAAATAATTAGTGCATTAGAGAGTTACAAAGAAAAGCCTATGTGTCTCTGAGGACTGGCTTCCTGGATGAGGTAGCATTTATTTTGGGCCTAAAAAAATCAATAAGAATCCAGTGGATGAGGACATTCCAATGATGGGGAGCAGTGTGATCAAAAGTACAGAGGCAAGATAGTATGGGTCTTGACTAGGGGGAATACAGTTCGGTTTGTCTAGAGCAAACAATGTGTGCAGAACAACATTATGACATTAAACTAGAAAGTCAAGGCACTCACATTGTAGAGAACTATGAATGCCAGTCAGAGAATACTGAATTTTATTTAGTAGGCAATAAGGATCCACTGAAGATTTTTGAGCAGAGTAGTCACATGACTGAATCAATGTATAAGAAGATTATTCTGGCAGCAGCACAAATAATGGATTGTCTGGGAGTGAGAGTGAAAATTGGAAGACTTAGAAGGAAGCAATTACAGTAGGCAGATGGGTAATAATGGGGGGCCTGAATAAGAGTGGCGGCAGTATAAGTAGGAAGAAAGGAGAGATGGGATATGCCAAATGGTTGGTGGTTTTGTTTAGGGAGAGTCAAACATCAAGATTATTTCCAGGTTTGGGTCTGGGTGACTGAGTAGTTGGTGATATCATCAAAAAGTAATGGGAAAGAAGAAGGAAAGACATAGCAGGGGGCCAAGGTTATCGGAGGTGAAAGATGATGAGTTCTGTTTATATATATTGAGTTTAAAGCAATAATACTATATCTAAGTGGAGATGGCATCTGGAAATCCTAGAGTAGAATTCAGGGGAAAGTTAGGAATGGTGGTATCTACAACTGAAATCACAGAAGTGATTGTGATTTTAAAGGGGAAGAGCATATTAAAGTACAAGAAAAAAGGACTGAGAATTGATTAGAAATAGTGAGGTTCTCAAAGAAGCTTAAAAATAAGGGCCATTGGGGTAGAACTGGGGCTTAGCAGTATCCCAGAATCCAAAAGTCAAGTATATGAAACACAATGGAAAGATCAAGAAGCATAAGTAACGGGTAAAGGGCATTAAATTTAGTGATTAGGAAATCATTAGCAACATTAAAAATGATTTGAATGGAATTTGGGGAGGTCTTTGGAAAGCAAGTGTATAGTCTAAAATGGAGGTAGGATGCCTATGGACTTTCTAAAGTACAATGGTAAAAGGAAAAGGAAAATCAGAATAGCTTAAAGGCAGAGAGAGGTCAAGGAAAAGTTCTTTGCAGGATTAGCATGAAAGAACACAGATACAGGAGATGAGATTGAGAATGCAAGAATGAGGGAACAATCAATTTAAGAAGGTTTCAGAAGGGATGAATGGTATAGGAAGTAGAGCCAATTAGACTGTAGTCATTAAGACTGTGAGGGGCTCATAGGAGGAGAGGGAAAAGAGCTGAGGAGCTGTCTTCAAGCATTTAGAAGTCCATCATAGAAAAAGATAATCATATTTATTTT